CGGTTACACAGAGAAACCCTGTCTCAAAAAGCCAAAAAAAAAAAAAAAAACCCAAAAAAACCAAAAAACAGTAACAACAAAACTGTACACTAAAACCTGTGTCTTAAGTGTGCCCACTCCTGAAGGGAATAGAGATCACACGGCTTATGTTAAGCTCCACGTCTGTTCTGTATGTGATGGGAACAGGTCAGTGATTGGTCAGTCCTGGACAGTGATCATGCTCCTGAAGCTCTGTTCCATCTCTTGAGAGCACACAGAATTAAGGGAGGAAGACATCAGCAAACACGAGCCCACAAAAGCCAGCACACCACTACCACTATCAGACCAAGCAGGTTTTGATGCCAGTGGCACTACTTACTAGGATATAAAGTCACGATATCAAAGGGGAAACAAGTTTAATGTGCCTAACATGGCCTCAAAATTACAAAAAGCAAAAAAATAAACTATAGAGCTATAACGACAAATTGGGAATGAGGTATTTTCACATACTTTTTTCAGTAATTGATAACTGAATAAGACTATAAGAAACCTGAAAGGTAGTCAGGCAGTGGTGGCACACACCTTTACTGAGGCAGAGGCAGGTGGATCTCTGTGAGTTCAAGGACAGTCCAGTCTATAGAAAAACAAAACAAAAGAAAAACCTGAAAGGCATGGATTTCCAGAGACTTTTTCAGTCATTTACAAAAGTCAAGATCTGGGCGTGGTAGTGCACACCTGTGATCCCAGCACTCGGGAGGTGGAAGCAGAAGGATCAGGAGTTCAGAGTCAGTCTTCCCTACAAAGCCAGTCCAGGGCCAACCTACCTGAGATCCACCTCAAAAACAAAAATAAACGAAGTACCAGCACTGCTGCAAAGCGAAACACAGCATATTTCAAATAACCTATTTTGTTCAGACTGCTCTTAAAAATCACAATACACTAAAATAAAAAGTAAATAATAAAATGATACATAATTTGTGGGGAGGGCGTTACTGAGAATTTGACCTAAAGCCTTTTATACACTAGGCAAATCTTTTACCACCCAGCTATAATCGTGACCCTATAAAATGTTTTTGTGACCAAGCATGTAAGCAAATTCCTTTAATCACTACAGAAGCAGGCAGACAGCTAGCTCTCTGAGTTCAAGGCCAGCGTGGTCTACACATTAGTTCCAGAGCAGACAGGAATATATCATGGGACCTGTCTCAAAAAAAAAAAAAAAAAAAAACACCAAATCAAACAAAAATTGTAAAGAGAATAGTCATTTATTGAAGAAAATATAAAATATTTAATAGTGTTTTAGGGAAGCAATCCTCCCTCCCATCCAACTACTATCCAGGCCTGACCTTGTTTAGTTTCTGAGATCAGACCAGTTCAGGGCAGTTTGGAAAGAGATCAATCTTTTCTATGGGAAGTTCACAGCAAAATTTCATCTGATTACAGAACATATAACATTGATGTTTAAATATAAAGTCAGTAATCCCAAGGGGGAGTAATACAAAGAGTACATACAATTACAGTAACACACACACCAGTGTAAGAAACAAAATACTGAGAAACAGAGAAAACTACATTCCTACAAGATATGCATGAGAACACAGTCCAAGGCCCCTGTGGGTCCAAGGCCTCAGATAACACAGCACCCTAAACTGTGGGATTATTGGTTTTAGGACCCCTGCATGTACCAAAACCCATGGGTGCTCAGGCTCTTATCTAAAGTGACAGTATATTTATACAGAACTTAGATGTGCCTTCTCATATACTATATGTCATCATTAGATCAGTTATATCTAATACATGCAAATGATTTGCAAATACTTGCTATACAGTATTGTTTGGGGAATAATGGCGAAGAAAAAGATCTGTAGAGATACAATTTTCTAGACATTTTTTTCACATTTATTTATTTTGTGGTGGAAGGTGCCATGAGGCATGTGTGGAGGGTCAGAGGGCAACTTGTGGGAATTGATTCTCTTCTTCCACTATATTGGTCCCAAGGACCAAATTATAGTCACCAGGCTCAAGGGCAAATGTGCCCAAAGATGGCTCACTGAACCATCTTCCTACCCCAGATACAGTTTTTTAAAAAAGATCTTCTGCAAGAGCAGCAAGTACTCTTAACTGCTGAGCCAGCTCTCCAGCAATAAAAACCATGACCGGAAGTAACTTCGGAACAAAATGATTTATTTGGCTTACACCACGTAAGAGCACCTCATGAAGTGCGGAAGTCAGGGCAGGAATTCGAGGGAGGAATCTGGAGAGAATTGCTGCTTACTGGTTTGCCCTCACAGTTGCTCGGTCTGCCTTCTTAGACAAACCAGGACCACCTGCCCAGAATTGGCATCACCCATAACTATCAATCATCAATCAAGAAAATGACCCTCAGTCTTGCCTACAGGCCAATCTGCTAGCAACGATTCTCAACCTATGGGTCGTGACCCCTTTGGGGAGGGTTAAATGACACTTTCACAGAGGTGGCCTAAAACCATCAGAAAACACAGATATTCACATTATAATTCATAACAACAGCAAAAATACAGTTACGAAGTAGCAAGGAAAAGAATTTTAGAGGTGGAGTTATCACAACATGAGAGACTATATTAAATGGTTGCAGCCATTAGGAAGGCTGAGAACCACTGTGCTGGAGGCCTTTTCTCAACTGAGGTTGCCTCTTCCTAAATGACTGGAACTTGTATCAAGGTTGACAAAAAACTAAGTAGCACAAAGACCCTACAGTCTATAACTTAAGGCACCCACTTAAAATGAAGTGTTAACTTAACTGACAAGTAAACGGTGAAAAGCAAGAGGTAACTTTAGAATTAGAATGTTGCCAGGGTGCTAGCTCACTTCTGTAAGCCAGCACTTGGGAAGCCGGGGCAACAATACTGCCGGTGAATGGTTGCTGGGGTGCACTGTGAATTCAGACCAGCCTAAGTTACAGAGTAAGACTCTTGTATCAAGAAAGACAGACAGACAGACAGACAGAAAGAAAGAGGGAGGGAAGGAAGGAAGAAAAGAAAGAGAAAAGAAAAAAAAGAAAAAAGTAAATGCTAATTTACTTAGCCTATAAAAGGTGGGGGGGAGGGGGGAATCTTGGAACATCTGTAAGAGGTAGAAAATAACTCATAAGATGGTGGATTTAAGCAGGATTATCTTAGTCTAAAGTGGAGCAGAGTAAACTGTGGCTATAGTTTATTGGGTATTTCAGAACTGCCAGCAAGCACTGGGGATGCTCAGTAATGGAGGGCTTGCCTCGCATGCCTGAGGCCTTAGCCAGGAGGATCCTGGGTAGACCCAACACTCAGAATGGTAAAGGTGAACTCAAGAATAAGCCGGTCGTCCTGACCTATGTTGTATAGACAAGCTGCAATCTTGAAATGCCGTACTGTAAATGGCCTGAGTTCAATCTTGGGAAATCACACGAGGGGAGAGAGCCGACCCTCCAGAAGTTGTGATCCCTACTGGAGCTCACTGCATGTGCGTGCCCACACCCGCCCCCCACACACACACAAATGAGAAGAAGAATAAGAGCTGGGATGTAAGTCAGCTGTAGAGCAGTACTCTAGCATGCATGAAGCCTGGGGCTCAGCACTGCATTCAATAAACAAACAAATAAGTGCACTGGTTACATTAAATGTCTGGTAGGTGACAGGATTAATAACCAGGATGTATTTTTTTATATATAAAACACTATAAACCAATGGGAGAAAAAACATCCAACAGAACAGGCAAAGGACACGAAGAGAACTTTACAGGGGGAGAAAACTATTGAGTGCTATAAATATAAAAAGACAATCTCTTTAATGAGGGCATCATAGACAAGTAATAGTAAGTTGCATTTCTCATTCAACTTTTTGACAAATTTTCCAAATCACTTATCAGTGACCGTTGGCCAGCACATGAAAACAGGAAGCCATGCACTGCTAGGTGGTAGGGTAAGTGGCACCATCTCTGGTGAGCAGTTTGAAGCCTGGGAGAGTTGAAGGGACTCCTGCCACCCACTGGTCCTTATCTGGTGAACAGCACAAAGGGACACGTATGCCTGTCACGTGTATGCGGCCTCCTGGCAGCTGGATTGTTTTCATTCCCCCCAAAGGATAATGAAATACTATACAGTGGTTAAAACGAATGGACCAAACAGACTTATTTACACATGCCGTATCTCAAAATAACAACTGGCCGGGCGGTGGTGGTGCACGCCTTTAATCCCAGCACTCGGGAGGCAGAGGCAGGCGGATCTCTGTGAGTTCGAGACCAGCCTGGTCTACAAGAGCTAGTTCCAGGACAGGCTCCAAAACCACAGAGAAACCCTGTCTCGAAAAAAAAAAAAAAAAAAAAAGAACATCAAAATAACAACTGGCCGTGAAAACAAAAAGCTGCAACAGGATGTGGGTTGAATAAAGAGCATTTGTGTAAACTTTCAAGAATACCGAACCCAGTAGGGTACACTGCGGATGCACACCTGACAGGCAACAGACAGACTGGAGGGAGGAAAATTAGACGGCCCGGGCCTCATCTCCATTTTTTTAGTGAGAGCTGCATATTGCCCGGTTGCCTTCTAAGACCCGATCCAACCCCGACATCCCCAGGGTTCCATGAAGTGAAAAAAATTATTCTTCCTTTTCCTCTCGGTTCCAGTTGGGGTGCATCCCTAACTTAACCAGGGCACCTGCTCACTTTTTTGCTCGCTTTCTTTTTTCACTCCGTTCCCAGATCTTGCCAGCTCCTCGGCATTCAACAAACACGCGTTTCCGTGAACCTGTCCAGGAAAGAGGGTCATCTGTCACGTTGGAAAGAGCACTGTGTACACGGGGGCCAAACAGCAACTTAGGGTCAGCAAGCCGCTCCCCGCTCGGCCTCAGTTTCCTCCCAAGCAGCCCGTCTAGCCCCTTCCAGCCGGTGCCCTCAAGGATTCCAGGAATTCTGTCCTTCCTGGCCGAAAACAACACTGAGGCTTTTCACAAAGCACTCCCACCCCCACCCCTCGCTCCCCTTAGATCCACAGCCCGCGTCCCTGGAACCCGGGCTGCACCGCGCTGGTCACATGAACTCCGGCTTTCTCTGGTGTGACGGCTCTCTCCGATCCCTTTGTGAGCGCAGGTTTTGAAAGCCAACGACCGGGTTCTGGGTTTGAGACGCGCAGGCAGCCGCCGGCGGAAGGCTGTCGGAGCCCATCGGCCCGCCTCCAGAGCCAACGCGCCGCGCGGGCCGCGCGCCCCGGATTCCGCTCCGCCGCCGCCCGCCGCGGCCTGGCCCGAGGGCGCCGGGCCGCCAGGACGCCAGGTGAGCCGCGAGGGCCCGGGAGCCGCGACGGGCTCAGGGCGTGTCCGGCGCCGCGGCGGCCCGCGCCTCACTGTTCGCTCCTACCGGCTGTAGATGGAGCTGTCTGGGTTCCGGCCGCCTCCGACGAGCCTCCGAGCGCTCCTCTTGAAATGCCTGAGAGGGACATGCCTCCCAGGATGCAGTTTGTAGCAACATGGCAGCTGCGGTGCAGCTACCCTGCTGAAGAGGCGCCGGGACGGCCGCGCAGCTCGCAGCCGGGGCCCGGGCCGCAGCCGGGGTCGCAGCGTCGGCCGCTCGGGGCGGGCGAGCGCGCCGGGGGCGGCCGCGGAGCGCCGGGGCCCAGCTTGCCGCCGGGGAGCAGCCCGCACAGCCGCGCTCCGACGCCGCCGTCGCCGCCCGCGCCCGCCCGCCGCGCGCAGCCCCGAACAGGCCGGGGCCCGACGGCCGCGCAGCCCCGGCGGGCGAGGCCAGGCCGCGCCGCGCTGCCAGCCCGCCCACGACTCCGGGCCTGCGTGGGACTGCGCGCGGCGGCGGCGGCGGCGGCGGGGACTGCGCGGCGCGGGCCGGGCGGCGCAGGGCCATGGCCGAGGCGGCCCCGGCTCCGGGGAGGGCAGCTCGCGCGCGCACGGACGCGCGGCCTCGGGGCCCGGGGGACTGCCTGCGTGCTCCGGGCTCGGCGGCCCGGCCTGGGGTCTCGGTAAGGGCCGGGCGCGGCGACGTTAGCGGGGAGGGGGCGCCCTGGCGGGCTCGCGCGCCCCCTGGGGGGAGGCCGGCCGGGGCGGGCGGGAGCGGCGGCCGTCCGTGCGAGGCTGCGCGGCCGCACGGCGCCCGGACACGCGGCCCGAGGTGGGGCGCGGGCGGCGCGCTCGCTCCCTGGCTGCGGAGCCGGCGCTGCGTCCGTCGGGGTGGCCGGCGGCACGTTTTCCGCAGAGCTCGGCCCCGCGGAGCGGCTCCCGGCCTGGGCGCGGCGCTGACGCGGCTCTCCCATTTCGCAGAGCGGAGACACTGAGGCACGGACACCCGGCGGCGACCTGCCCTGACTGCCCCAAGGTCACGTAGCGAGTCGGCCCTGGCTGGGTGCCCGCAGCCCCGTTGAGGCCTGCCCTGCGTGCTGCGGGCCTGGACGGGGAGGGGGCGGCGCTGGCGGTGGCTTCACCGGGGTGGGCGGCCTGGGCTGGCTGAGCACTGGCTGCGGCCCGTCGGGGGAGGAGGGGAAGGCCGGGCAGCGCCCAGCCCAGCGTCTCTGATGTGGGGGGGGCCCTGTGACCCACAGCTTCTGCATCAGGAGGGCCCCGAGTCAAACTTGGGGTATGGATGGATGGGGTCTGGCGAGTGAGCACCTAAGAGGTTGACGTACCACTTCAGAGGGTCATTCAATAATTAAACACCCTCTCACCCAACGTGCTCTCTGAGGCACCCTATCTCTGCTAGGCAGGTTTGCTGCAGGGGGTCCGTGCCTTTGAGCCTGTTTCCCGTGTGTTTAGGAAGAGCTGGGATAGATGGCTTTCTAAAAGCCTCGCAGTTCTTAAAATAACAATAACAAAACTCATGGGAAATAAAACGAAGATTTTTTTTTAAAAAACCTGCCTACCTCTGGGCTTAGGTCTCCAGAACCCTTTCATGGCATGTAATTCTGGCGGAACCATCCTGGGTCATGTAAGAAAAATGCCACATCTTTTGTAAGAAGTATGATGTGTTTCGTTATGCGCTTTTCTAGTATGTTGGCATGGATCCTGGAGCCCCCATTCTCTTAACCATACAAGGAGGGAGAAAGAGAGACAGGTAGAATCTATGAACTGTGGCACAGAGGAGTTCTAACCTTCCTCTCTCTTCTAGGAGTTTGAGGATTTGAGCTTGTTCGTTTTAGGTATCTTTATTTAAGGGTAAGATCAAGCCACAGGTTTACTGGAACTGATGACATTGTATCAGGACTTAAGTAGAAGAAGGGGAAAGGGACTGGCCTTGTGATTCTTCACCCCTTTCCAGTACTCCAGGTCCCTAAATAGAGGAAACAAAATATACTATTTTCCTTTGAGCTCAGATTCAACTAGCTAATAGAGATGTCCTGCCCTGTTGGCTTTATTTACTATAATGAGTCTTTTTTTCTTGTTTGAGTTAAAACCTTGCGTTAGGCAGGCACCTAACCTGCCCTCCAGATATTTTTTCCTTCTTCCTACTAATTGTAGGCAAATAGCCCTCAGGTAGACAGACTTAATGTACCTCTTGTGTTGGCTCTGTTGGTTTCTTTACCTGTGTAAGGCTTCCAACTAAGGGATCTGTCTAGTCTTGCTACCAACTCAACAATGAAGGGCTGAGAGTTAAGATGTCCTTGACCACTCTCAGTGTTTGCAGAAGTATGCATCTGTGTGTATGTTGACAACTCATCGCTTGCATTAGGTTTCCTAGGGGATCTCGACACCACCATAATCAGCAATGTCTTTAAGGGATAGGGCCTTCCATCCCCATGTGCCTGTGGTAAGCCTCCCATAAGTGTTAAATCACCAAGCCTCTGACTTGGCTCACATCTATCAGCTACCTGTCTATAATTGAGGCCTAGAGTCCGTGTGACCTGAGGCAAGGCACATGTGACCTCTCCTATTTTCTGTGTTTTCGTAGGCTAAAGGTGGATAACTCCAGTAGCATCTAGTTCATCAAGTTTTGTGGGGCTCAGGTGAGGTAATCCTTTGAAACGCTTACACAGTTTATGGCACATAATAAATCCTAAGTATTTATCTTCCTAATAAGCTCCCATATAACAGTTATGGGTCGTACTTTCTCAAAGATCTGTGCTGGACAAGGTCTCAAAATCTTCGGTCTTTGGCTTAAAAGTATATTGCTACTGTGGTGAAGTCACGTGAATCAATGAGGAGACGTAAGAAAGACAGCTACGGGAGGCGTGGCAGTTAGACGAGTCATCCATATATGGCAAAAGGAGGCTCGTTACCTACCTAGTCTTTTCAGCTTGTCACTCCACAGCCATTTATCGGGCGCCGGCTAATTTCCTTACAGAACACTCTTGTAGAGAACACAGAGGCTGAACAGGGAGTCCTTGAAGGAATAGTATGAAGAAAAGAACAAAAATGGTTACAGAAAAACTCCGTGTAGATCCGGTAAAGGTATTGAATGACTAGATAAATGGACAAGGCACTCACGGAAGATCCCAACGTTGAACTCCAGCTCCCTCGTGGTTCAAGATTTTAACGTGGATGTGGCAAGATGGGGATCAGAGTGCCAAAAGGAACCACATCTTTATTCTGCCTCTGGTCCCTAACACCCTTGTCACACTTAAAACTAGTGTAATATCTGCACGGCTTCCCTCATGGCAGGCCTGCCTTCTCCCTCATTCCCTACCTCAAGAGCCACACTGAGGGAGCCAAGCCCAGCAATGTACACCTGTCCCAGTGGGCCATCTACCTAGGAAACCTGGACTCCTGAGGAGGCTGAATTGCCTGTGTTACCCGCCACCATATCTCAGTGTCCTTTACTTGGAGCAGAAGCCTTGCCCCAAGCCCCAGCCTCTGCAGACAAACAAGCAGGCCATAGTGGAAAGGGCAGCGATAGGTATTGATGGGACCAGCAGCCGAGTGCTCTGATTCCCCCCCCCCCCCCGTCCCCTTTCCGCCTGCACACCGTTCATCATATCTGAACGTGTTGGGGGAAGCGTGGCTCTGTGGGAAACAGAAGGTGGCATGGCCGTCCTTTATGTGGTGTCCCTAATAGCTTTACCATCAAGGTCTACATCAGTGCCACTGTCGGAAGACATTTGCTTCCTTGGAATGTCTTATTGTTGCAGAAACTGAGGGCATTTTAGCATGAATGCCTATTTCTTGGATTTGTTTTGCCAGCTGGAGACTGTGACCTTTAATGCTGTCTGTCCTTCTCTCCTTGAACACAGGTCCAGCAGCTGGACATGGAGGACGAACACTCATCACCTCTGTCATTCTCTGGCGTTCCACACGAAGAGTCTGTGCATCAGGCCCCTGCTGGACTCCCCAGAGAAACTGTGTTCCCTTCTTGCATTCTTCCCCCCAAAGAAATTCCTTCCTTGTCTCCCACCGCCCCCCGGCAAGGTCCCCTGCCCCAGACTGACAGTACTCCTAAGCAAGAGACTTCTGGCCAGATGTCACATGTTCTCCAGAAGGGACCTTCACTCCTGTATCCTGCCACCTCTGAGCAAGACACACACCACCAGGTATCCCTGGCTTCCCAAGAAGAAACCCAGTACTCTCCTTCAGCTGCTGGTCAGGGGACCCCTCTCCTTTCCCACTCCATCCAACATCAGGAAGCTCCACCCCACTCTCCTGAGGTTCCTGAGAAAGACTCGCTGACTCTGTCGCCCACGGTTCCGGAGACTGACATGGATGCCCTGCTCCAGAGTCCCACTTCGCAAAAGGACACTCCTTTTCCTACCTCCTCTGCATCCCAGAAGGAGCAGCCGCTGCCCACCACAGAGATCACTCGCCTGGCTGTGTGGGCTGCCGTCCAAGCAGTGGAGAGGAAACTGGAGGCCCAGGCCATGCGGCTGCTGACCCTGGAGGGCAGGACAGGGACAAATGAGAAGAAGATAGCAGACTGTGAGAGAACGGCTGTGGAGTTTGCAAACCATCTGGAGAGCAAGTGGGTCGTACTGGGGACTTTACTGCAGGAGTACGGGCTGCTGCAGCGGCGCCTGGAGAACATGGAGAATCTGCTGAAAAACAGAAATTTCTGGATCCTGCGGCTACCCCCAGGCAGCAATGGAGAAGTTCCCAAGGTAGGGCCATTTACTGGGGTCTTCCCGAGGAAAACGTCTGCCGGGGAACCTGGCTTAGGGGTTTAGTTCAGTTGAAACAAAGGGAAGGTGATGGTTGGGAAAGGAAAATAAGAAGTAAGGCTCCCTGCTGTCCAGTATTGCCTCTTCTGCTGTTGTTAAAAGCACAGAGTGGTATGAAAGCTCACTTACAAAGCAGTGAGCGAAGCCCTTCCCAGAGCCTGAGATAAGATGCAGAAGGAAGGCTTGGAAGACTGTGTAGAGCCTGCCCTTCCAGTCTGCCCTCCGCACACTCTGGTTCTGCACGCTGACTTCATCCCACTCCAGGTTAATATGTCTGCACTGAACATGAACAAGTTCCTCTAGCTGTCCCTGAGTGATAAATTGTAGCAACTGTACCCAGCATTCACACTGGGGCAGCATTGCATGCCATCCAGGGATGATTTAAAGTGCTGGAGCTTTTTATAGGTTTTATGAAATTACTGTGCCGTTATATATAAGGACTTCAGCATCTGCAGACTTTGGTATCCTGAGGTTCTGGAACAATCCCTTGCAGGTACCGAGGGACAATGGTACCAATGAGCAATGTTTAATGCTTTCCCCTCAGATGGCACAGCAGCAGAATGTAGTTTCACTGTTAGAAGTTTTGTGCTCTCTGACATATTTTTTTTGTCAGTTTACTTCTAAATCTTTAATGCCAAAAAAGCTCATTCAGGAAGTATCCTTGAGGAGCTAAGAACCAGGCTTTCATCTTATTTTCCAGACGGCTCTAAAGGAACATGAGTGTAGACCAGTTTTCTTTTTGTTCCAAACAGACTGTAAGCCAGTACCTCCTGAGGGCTGGTGTGCATTAGAACTCTAGGACCTCACTAAAGGCACACTGGTCCCTGAAGGTCCAGGGCAAGGCCTAAGAGTCTGAATTTCCTGCCGGTTCCCTGTTGCTACTGGTGCCACGTGTTTTAAAGTCAGGGAAAAGCCCCAGGCAAGATGAATCCTCCAGTCTGTAAAGCCCCTAAGCAAGGGCAGGGGAGGAAGGCTTTCCTCTCCTGTCCTTAAGAAGGGGAGCTGGGGTTTAACAGTCTCTGTGGTATTAGATCCCTTTGGTCTTTTCTGACCCAGTTGTTTGGTTTCAGGTCCCTGTCACATTTGATGATGTCGCCGTCCATTTCTCAGAGCAGGAATGGGGAAACCTCTCTGAGTGGCAGAAGGAGCTCTACAAGAATGTAATGAGGGGCAACTATGAGTCTCTGGTCTCTATGGGTAAGAAGGCAAACATTTGGTTTGGTTTTGGTTTTATTTGGTTCATTGGTGGGGGAACATGTTTGGGTTTAGGTTTGTATGTATGAGTTGTTTTGTTTTGTTATAGAGCTGCCTTGGCTGACCTAGAACTTGCTGCGTAGATCAGGCTGGCCTCAAACTCGCTGAGATCCTCCAGATTCTGCCTCCCTAGTACCAGGATTATAGGAATGCACTGCCGTGTATATGATAAGTTTAATAGGATCTTTCTGTTGAGAGAGGCTAGCCTGAAACAACCATTTATCCCAGACTGCCCTTGAATTTATAATCCGGCTGCCTCAACTTCCTGAATGTTGAGATTATAGACTTGCGCTACCACACCTTGCTTCAGAGAGAATTTTACTTAGTTTTTGTGTATGTGTATATTATGTTGTGTGCATGTCTGCACGTGGAGGCCAGCAATCAATGTCAAATGTTGTTCTTTGTTTTTTGAGATGAGGCCTGTCACTAAGCTAGTTCACCTGACTAGGCTGGCTGGCCAGTGTGCTTCTGGGACCTCTCTGTTTCCCCCAACCCCCGACCCCACCAGCACTAGGGTTACAGATGGTCACCACCACACCTGGTTTTTACATGGGTGCTGGGAATCGAGCCTTGTTCTCGTTCATAATGAGCAGGCACTTTACCATCTGAACCATCTCCCCGCCCGCAAACAGAATTTTAAAGAGTGCCACAGATGGGTTAGAGTTGCTCAGTGGTTAAAAGTTCCCAGCACACACATCAGGTAGCCTACAACTACGTGTAAGGCCAGCTCCAAAGGTCTGACACTCTCTTCTGAACTTTATAGGTACCTGGAATCACATGTACACAAACATACATGTACATGTAATTAAAAATAAGATAATTTCTTCTTTTAAAAAGAGTAACATTAGGGGGCTGGAGAGATGGCTCAGAGGTTAAGAGCATTGGCTATTCATCCAAAGGTTCTGAGTTCAATTCCCAGAAACCACATGGTGGCTCACAACCATTTGTAATGGGGTCTGGTGCCCTCTTCTGGCCTGCAGGCATACACAGACAGAATATTGTATACATAATAAATAAATAAATGTTTTTAAAAATATTTTTGAATTAAAATTAATTTTATTATTAAAATTAATAAAAAATAATATTTTTTAAAAAATTGTTTAATAAAACAACAAGAACAACAAAACCAAACCTCTCACATAACTCTTGTATATCAGTATGGCACAGCTGGAACAATCTGTACATAGAGACACCACACTCTGGAGAAGCACTTGGGGCAGCAGGGGAAAAGCTGGCTAGACGATGGTGGGCTTCTCCATCAGAACATTTCCCTGTATCCTGCTCACAAAATTCATTATTATTGAAAGGAAAGTCTGTAGAAGAGACAGATGTACTGAGGGCCTACTGTGTGTCATCAGGGTGTGAAATGCTTCCCAAGAATAACATGTAGTGAGGGACTGAGGACAAGACCAGAGACCTAGTTTTCTTACCCATACAGCTGAACACTCTCACTTACTGAGGCCATATGGCCCCAGGGTCCTGGTCCGCATTAGGAAGTCACAGTCTCATAGAAGAAGTCTGTCTTATACCAAGGTCTGTTGGTTCTTGTTTTCATTAAAAACGTGAAGGGACAAGAAAATTGGAAGATGGACTTTCTTTCATATGTATCCTTTTCTCTCGTGTGTAAATTTTTTTATAAAGATAAAAGAAAAATCTGAGGGTCTCAGTAGATAAAGAGCTTGCTGTGCCAGCACAGGAAACCTGAGTTAAGATTGCCACCACTCAACATAAAAGCGAGACACAGTGATGTACATCTGAATCTCCAGTGCTGGAGGCGCCTGGAGCTTTACTAGCCAGTCTAGTCAAAACAGCTTCAGGGTCAGGGAGAGACCCCGTCTTGAAAATGAGGAAGGAGATGGGTGGTGGTAGCACACACCTTTAATCCAAGCACTCCTGAGGCAGAGGCAGGAGGATCTCCGAGAGTTCGAAGCCAGCCTGGTCTACAGAGCAAGTTCCAGGACAGGCTTCAAAGCTACAGAGAAATCCTGTCTCGAAAAACAAACAATGAGGGAAAGTAAAGAGAAGGACACCTGATGTGAAACTCTGGCTCCCATCCATGCAAACAGGTGAGTACGCCTGCGTACCCCACCCAGAAGCACAAACACGAGAGAAATGTTTGCATGCTGAGTACACTGTTGGACAAAGACTTTGATTCAGGTGCTAGAGGTGTCTCAGCAGTTAAGAGCACTTGCTGCTCTTGCAAAGGACTTCAGTTTGGTTCCCAGCACCCACAAGGCAACTATCTGTGGCCTCTGTGGGTATGAGGCACACATGGTACACATACAGACATGTAAGCAAACATTTATACACATAAAATAAAACTAAATAAATATGGGGCTGGAGAGAGAGCTTATGTTACAAGCACCTGATGCTCTCCCCGAAGACCGGGATTTGATTCTCAGCACCCACAGGTAGCTCACAACCATGTGTAACTTCAGTTCCAAAGGATCTGATGCCCTCTTGCCTCTATAGCACTGTATACATGTGGACAAACAGACGTGTAGGCAAAAATGCCTGTAGACTTAAGCAAACTGATTTATGCTAGAAAAGGTAATTTTAGACATATTTTTCCATAGGTTAACATTACTCTTCTTAAAAATTTATGTTTTTTTTAAATACCGGCATAATTATGAAAAGTTACCAATTTGCAGTAACAAAGAACAACCACTATGCACTCGCTATCGCCACCCCACAAAGGAAGTGTCCCCTTTAGATTGTGTCCTTTCTCATCTTACACATGTAGTGTGGAGTTTGCACAAAGGCAACCATTCACTTACAGTACCTTACACTGGACCAGGGGACAGCTTTCTTTATCAGCACCTGTAGGCCACAACCCTTGGAAAGAAGGTACAGTATCCAGGTGAACTGTGGCTTTTTTAAAAAAATATGTTTTGATTGTTTTGCCTTCATGTTAGCATGTGTACCACATGCATGCCTGGTGGCCATGGAGATCAGAAGAAGGCACTGAACTCCCCTAGAACTCGAGTTAAAGGTGATTGTGAGCCACCACGTGGGTTCTAGAAACCTAACCCGATTGTCTGCAAGAGCAACAAGTGTTCTTAACCCCTGAGCCTTTTCTCCAGCCCTCTGAACTCTGGCTTTTGACTGTACGGCTGCTGAGCCATGCTGCTTGTGTGTCTCGCTGCTGTTTGATAAACAGCCCTGTAAATCTGTGCATCGACCCAGTGATCGACAGTACAGATGTGGAGTGGGCTTGGGGTGAGAGATGTACCACCGTGGTGCCTCCTAGATGGCTGAATGGTGTCTTGTCTGCAGCAGCACATTAGAATGGATTTCTTCACGCCCTTGTTTATTCTGTTGTTTTAAATCTCTGTTATGTTTTGTTTTGTTTTGTGAGACAAGATTTTGTAACCCAGACTGGCCTCAGATGTGCTGACCTTGAACTCCTGATTCCTCTCCGTTCCAAGTACTTAATATAGGCAAATATTTGTCCTTTCGATAATGAAAAACTGATACTATTTTTATTCGAGTGTATTTATTTGGTGGTTAGTGAAGTTGTACATTTTTTCTATGTGATTGCAAGTCATTTGTCTCCTGTGAATTACCTATTCATACTTTTGCTCCTTTTTCACTGATTATAAAGGTTGCTTCTGTATAATTATGAATTAATCATTTGCTATATGTGATGAGTGTGTATGTTTCTAATATTTCTGCCACATTTCTTCATCTTTTTATTTTAAAATAATCTTAAACTTTTTGAGAAGTATTGAGAATTGAACCTAGGGTCTCATATATGTACCACTGAGCTACATGCCTGCCCTAACTTTTTCTTTTTCTTTTGTAAACAGGGTTTCACTATGTAGCCTTAGCCAACCTGAAACTCACAGTATAGCCCAGGCTCACCTTGAATTCACAGAGCTCTGCTTACCTCTGTCTCCCAGTGCTGAGATTTAAGTGCATGCCACACATCTGGCCTCTTATTTTGTTTTTAAATTTTTTTTCTTGGGTACAGGCTCTCCCTCTGTGGCCCAAGCCAGCATTGGACTCACAGCAGTTCTGTCTCCGCCTCCCAAGTGCTGGCATTACAGACATGAGCCATCATGATTGGCAACCCTTTTCTATATAAGAAACTCTTATCAGTATTTTGTTTTATGAATTTTATACTTTATCAGAGTTAGTTCTTGCTTCATACAATCTGAATTTTGTCATGAAGCTCCTGAGCAAGCTTCAGTACCTGTGAACAGCATGAAACACGCGTGCACAGTGGGCCTGGAGCAAGAGGCTGGATACTTGCCCATTTATTTTCCAGCATTGCTAGTCCCTGGAAGAAGGGCTGTTCTAGGTCACATCCCCTCAAATGATACCTTTACAGAATACAGTGCCACCTCTTACCATGGAATATTTTCTTTCCTTCCTTCTGCCCAGACTATGCAATATCCAAACCAGACCTCATGTCACAGATGGAGCGTGGAGAAAGGCCAGCCATGCAGGAGCAAGAGGACTCTGAGGAGGGTGAGACACCCACAGACCCCAGTGCTGGTGAGTGGCAAATGAATGGATGTCCCAGGGCCCTACATCCTGGGCCTTCCAGTAGTCAGGTGGCTACAGTTTGGGGTGCCACAGTAAGAGAGGATCTGAAAAGCATGATATGATAGCAAGCTGTTCAGGAAGGAGGCCTGCAGAAAGATGGTCTTCCTGGATCTCCCATGACCACCAGGAGCCCAGGTAGCTGATAAGTAGGAGTGCACAGAGTTGGTTGTCTTGGAGTTTTTTGCTGTTGTTTGTTTGGTTGGGTTTCTTTTTGACATGACCCATTCCTTTTTGCGGGAAGAATCACAGAGAAGACATTCTTGTATTAGGCTTGTTCCTCCTAGATTTCCCATAGAAGGCTATGCCTTCAGAGTAGAGAGCAGGAATGGACTTTACTAGGTAGTAGCCTGCACACACTCACTGTGAGCGATATCAGTTTTGTAGGCTCTGCCTGGGGACTTTCCTTTGGACTTGTATCACTTTCCCCAGAGATTTTGAGTAGAAGCATCCCATTTTCCTTCAGGGGGGAATGTAACCATCAAGAATAATAGAACATCAGCCACACCTCTAATTCCTCCACTAAGAAGGCAGAGGCAGGTGGATCTATGAGTTCGAGACCAGCCTGGTCTACAGAGTGAGTTACAATACAGCCAGAGCTAAAAGAAAAAGAAGACTAGAACAGCATTGGGGATTCTATTGCTTTCAGAAAGGAAATCAGGAGATTATCCTGCTGGGGAACTCAGTGACCAGCAGACAGACTTTGTTATGAGTGAATGTCATTGATTTGAAGACTACAAGAAACAACCCAAGGCAAAATAGGTTTGTTTGGGCTCCCAGCCTCAGAGGGGTCAGGCCATGGATGCCTGGCCCATGCACTCGATGCTAAACATCAGATGAAGGGGTGAGGCTTACCCCAACTCAATACCACAGATAAAAATAGATGAATTTGAAAGTAGATGAAGTCAGGGGTTCGTCTAGGGCTACATGTTAGTTGGAGGAAAATCTGTACTTTAAAGGTTTGAGTGACCACATCTGAAAATAAGAATTGGGTGGAATAGAGAGATTCTGTGTGGAAGAACTCAGAGGCAGGGAGGCTTATTGTGGTCAAAACCCTGAAAATAGGACTGTTGCCCCACTGGTTTTGAGGTCCAGGGCTGCACTGGTAGCATCCAACTCTTCGTCTGTCTACCTTTGTCATCTGTATCACAGATGGGCCTCCCATTGAGTAGGGTCCGACGTGAACAGCAAATGACCAGGCCAACTTGCCCTGAGCTGGGTTCAGTCTGGCACACTTATCCAAGCCTGAGCTTCCGCAGAGGCAGTGGCCTCATGGAGACAGCTGTACCGTGTTACTTGTTGTTCTTCTCCTTCCCAGCCCTTGGAGCTGACATCAGTAGGAGCAGGTGACACAGGACCATTGCGCCACATACTTAGCTACAGACAGTTGCACCCTGAGAAACTGTAGGTGCTTTATACATATCTGGGATAATCTGTCCAGTGTCTCCTCACTAGCAAGAGGTGGCAGAGGCAACCCTGAACCAGGTCCAAAGGTTCTGGTTCCTATGCTACCAAACGGGCATCTAGAAACAGAATTTTCTTAGTTCCACATGTCAAGACTGACAGTTTTAGTTCCACATGTCAAGACTGACAGTTTTATGAGCCGCTTCAGTATATTCATTCAGTGCTTTTGACCCCTAAGAGGTCCAAAGAAAATTCAGATATTTGCATTTACAAATATCTCACAGCCCTGCAAGAGCAAAACAAGTCAGAAGGCGTGGCAGAAATAAGTATTCTCATACGTTTTAAACATTTTTAAAACATTAATACATTTGACTTAATAATGTCCTTTGAGAGAGTCTGTAACATTGAACAGAATCTAAAATACAGTTTAAAAATACTATGTATAGGGCTGGAGGGATGGCTCAGTGGTTAAGAGCACTGACTGCTCTTGCAGAGGACCTAAGTTCAATTCCCAGCACCCACATGGAAGCTCACAACTGTCTATAACTCCAAAATTTGATATCCTCACACAGACATACATGCAGGCAAAACACCAGTGCACATAAAATAAATAATTAAAAAAAGAATGCCTGTTTAGTATACAAGTCCCTAGATTTGATCTTTAAAAACAATACTATGTGTATCATATGCTTTCTGTCACCTCTGACATCACATGAAGAATTTTTATACCATAAGATTCACTTGTTTGTTTATTAGTTAGTTCATCAGATTTGTTTTTTATATCAGGTACTTTGTCCATAGCTGGATACCCAAGAGGTCCTTGCTCTCACTAAGGCTTATACACCCCAGTAGGGAGGACCAGTTCTAGCAACCACTTTTACGCTATATGTAAATAGTCACCGCACTGGAAAGATGGCTCAGCCATTAGCACGGACAGCTCTTGGAGAGAACCCACGTTCAGTTCCCTGCACCCACATCAGATGGTGCACAGCTGCCTATCATTCCAGCTCTAGGGGATTCACTACCATCATCAAGCATGCTTATGAACATGGTGTGTGCACATGACCTCGGTGCACACAGATGTGCACATAAGTAGAGTAAGTCTTTAAAATAAAACAGAAAAACCACAATCACCTCCTGTAATGCAGCTGTCACAAGAAGCAGCCAGATTGCAAGACAAAACACAGGTTTTGCGGACCTTGGGGGGTCAGAAAGGCATCATACGGACTGGCAAGATGACTCAGCGGGTAAAAGTGTTTGCTGCCAAGCCTGCGCATCTGAGTTCAAACCCCAGGATGCCCATGATAAAGGAGAGAACCAACAAGTCCTCTGGCCTTCACATGCATGCCTTGGTACGCTTGCACTCATGAATGCGCACGTAGCACACAAATACAGTGAAAACATTCAGTTAAGAAAACAAATCTTGGAACAAGGAAATGTTAGTAGAGACCTAATAACAGCTAGGTTCCTTGCTCCTAGGAGAACTGATTGAAGGGAAGATATGGAAGCTGGGAGACGGTGGTGCGTAGAGGCCTTGGCACAGCCCGGGGGAGCAGTGGCTGTTTGTAAGATTTGTCTTGACTGTTGGCCAAGAGAAGCTTAGTGACTGGTGGATGTGAGTAGGGGAGTGGAGGATGCAGAGGATGGTTTCTAGCCCCTGACCCAGCTCACGGGGAAGATGAGAGACATGAAGAAGAGAAACAACAAAAATTCACTTTTGAACATGTGGGTGGAGACCCCAGGGAGAAAGCTGCTGAACAGAGTGGAGTTCAGAAGCAGGGGTCTGAACTAGAGACAGTTAAATTTTCTTTTTTTCCTTTTTTTTTTTTTTTTTGGTTGGGAGCCTGTCCTGGAACTGTCCAGGTTGGCCTTGAACTCACAGAGATCCGCCTGCCTCTGCCTCCCGAGTGCTGGGATTAAAGGCATGTGCCACCACTGCCCGGCGACAGTTAAGTTTTCATGACAGGATTTCTTTGTGTAGCTTTTGGCTGTCCTGGAACTCACTCTGTAGACCAGGCTGGCCTTTAACTCAGAGTTCCACCTGCCTCTGCCTCCTGGATGCTGGGATTAAAGGCATGCACCACCACTGCCCAGTCCCCAGGTCTTGTTTTATCTTAATTTTTCTATGTATGTATGTGCAGTGTGCATACATATATGTATGTAGGTTCCTGTGTCTGTGTATGATGTCAAGAGTCTTCTTCAATTGCTCTTCACCTTATGTATTGAAGTAGAGTCTCATATTGAACCCAGAGCTCACTGATATGGCTAGTTCCAGTATCCTTGTCTCTGCCTTCCTTATGCTGGGATTACAGGGCCACTATGCCCAGCCAGCATTTGCATAGTTTCTGCTGATCCAAAGTGGTTACTTATGTAACAAACACTTTAACCACTGAGCCATCTCTCTAGGGTGTTTTCTATTTATTTTATGTGTATGGGTATTTTACTCGAATGTCAATCTGTGTATACCACATGCATGCCTGGTGTCCATGGAGGATAGAAAAGGGCCTCTGAAATTGGGTCCTCTGAAACTGGAGTTATTGACAGTTTGAGCCACCATGACTTGGAATTGAACCCAAGTTGTTGTTGTTGTTTGTTTTGTTTGAAACAAGGTCTCTCGGTGTAGTCTTTGCTGTTCTGGTGCTCTCTGTGTATACCAGGCTATCAAACTCACTGCCACTCCCTCAGCCTCCAACAAATAAAAGGGGGGAGAAAAGGAAGGAAGAAATGGGAAAGAAAATTAAGACAAAGTGGGCTCTGTGAAAGATCCTGGCCACACCAGAAGGTTCTAGAATTTTTACAAGTAGAGGAAACTAAATAAATGCTACATATGTGTGAATGCTCTGAGTGTGGAGTTACATAGCTGAGGGGATTGAGGGGAATTTGGAGCTGAGTGTGTGACCATTAACAGTGAGCAAAGCAAAAGAAAAGATGATCACCTCTAGGGAGAAAGCCAGCTGCAGACACAAGCAACGCTGGCTGTGACTTCACATCAGGCTTACTGAAACCATGAGAAATCTGGTAGCTTAGTGAGGGCGTTGGAGGGGACAGTCCTGTCTAACAGGCCAAAGAAGTGTCCATTCAGGTGTGTTTTTAGGAGCCAGGAGGTAAAAAGCATGGATCCTTGGAATCCCTGGCTACCTAGTGCGTTTGAGGCTAGCCTGAGCTACCTGAGACCCTGTCTGTAGAACAGCTGGCAGCGTGCGAGGGTACTGTAGCACATCAGTCTTCCGAGAGCTGACGAAGGGCATCAGAGTACTGTTTATACCAGCGCTTCTCAGAAAAGTCGGGGTGGGGCGGGGTGACAAGAGTAAAATCCTAAATCACCTTTTTATTCTTCCTAGTATTCTAATACACGCGTATACATATGTTTTTATATTGTAAATGTACTCTACTATAAAACAAGTAGAGTAAAACAGATATTAGAGAAGCACATCACTTGCCAGCTGTTTTTGCTAAGCATCTGAGCCAGGCAAAGTAGTTTATTTAATTTGTAGACTTTCCTGTTGATATGCATTTAGTAGACCCAGTAAAGACCCTTCCTTATTAGT